CTTCTTGTTCTATTGTTATCGTTCGACATTCATCAATTGTTATTCATTCGGCGCTGCTGATTGTCGAGTGTTTTCAATGGAACGATTCGTTGTTTTTCTGGCTTATTCACTGAATTCAGCTGATTCGTTGTCATTCCCGTAGTGATGTCAGCAGCCGTTGTTTCGTTAGCGATTCCATTACTTTCACATCGTCAAATGTGTTTTTGTGTGTGCGTGTGTACAATTTTCATGATATGCACAATGCGATTTCACAAGTGAATTCAGTTTTTGTTTCCAACCATTGTACTGTTTGTTGAATGTAGGCAGCAGATAAGCGATGATCGTTGCTTGCCTATAGAAACAAATCGAATAAATATTCGACGAATTATGAATGTGCGNTGAACAACGAGACAAACGTCGTGCAATCGTCCTGATTCAAGCGTTTAATTGCCTCGTCGTGTATCATATATTCATAAATTTAATCTCATTCTCAAGAACACTGCGAATATTTTATTCAAGCAGCATTCATTAATCAAATTTTATCGGTGTTATATGCGTTAACCAACAGTCGATCGGAAGGAAGTGTTCCTGTTGTTGTACAGTGTTTGAGATGCGAGTGGATTCGTTATTGCGTTTATTGTGGCTATTGTTAATATCTTTATTATCGCTATCATCAAACGTCAGTGCTGATGAAAAATCTTTATTTGGGAGCAATAGCCAAGTGACACAATTGAATATTGATAATTTCGACCAAACTGTTTATAATCAGGTAACTGACTTTTTCGCTCTATTCTCTAATCGTTTTATCGCTTTATCGGTAATTTCGGTCATTAGATCATCAACTGATTTATTTTTATATCCCTCCAGAGATAAATTTAGCAAAGTCAATCCATTTGTGATAGCGTTGGATATCGAACCTTGAAGTAACTATCGAACTTCTTTCAGTTTTCTTTGATTTCAGTAAAACCTTTCTATACCACTTCGCTTTCCACTATTATAGGCTTAATTCATGATTGATTTCTCTGATTACTAATAATATTGATAACTGATATTGATAATATCATTATTGACAGTGGTTTTCATTGTTGTTTTAATTCGTTTCCATTTAATGTCGTCAAATTTCAGAAAAAATATTTTTTCGTTGAGTTTTATTCGAGTTGGTGTGGTGCGTGTATTCAATATGCACCTCATTATGAAAGTTTCGCAAAGTACGTTTCTATTGTGCAATTCATGACTATTTCCGATTCATATTTATTTCTCGTTCAAATCCTTCCAAATCGGTTTTCTTCAGTGCAATAACGTATCTGCTGTTTTTCCATTGAGTAAATGCTCAATGCTCACAGTTAAGGCATTGATGCATTATGATCTGCGACTGTTGTTATTCTATCCGCAGATATTTGATAATGTCAAACATCTGAAAATCGCCTGAATGAATTCAAAATTTTGCATTCCACTTGGAGGTTTCATTGTTTTTCATTTCCAATTCTTATTGTTAATAGAACTGAATCGTTTCAGTGAAATAAAGAACTGGAAACCAGTGTTCGAGGTTGCGGCCATAAACTGTGCAGATGATAAAAATATACAATTGTGCCGTGCTCATGCTATTGATGCTTTCCCAACCGTTAAGGTATGCTCAATAGCGGAAATATATCTATGTAATGACAATATTAACAAGAATATGAATAGAACTTGATAAATATGCATGAAACATGAAAAAAATCAGTGAATAAGAACGAAACAGCTGTGACTGAGTCTGGTTGGAGGAAACGAACTGTATCCATAGTAAAACTCGATGGCATGAAGAGTTTCTTCTTCACCAGAAGTCTGCTATGTGATGAATGATGCAGGCAATATGATTAATTTTATTGAGTATGAGCAAGATAATGATCGATTGAATACGATTGCAGTATTTCAAATATATGTCGAGAAGTCACGATGATGGGGTGAAATATAACGGCAACAAACATGACATGGTGAATTTACCGCTGGATGTTGCTCAGTTGGTTCGAGATGACTGGCTGAAACGGAAACCATCTGAGCTACCGAACTTCGACTATGAATCGAAGTTGGTGCTAAATTTGCTTTTGTGGATTTACCCTCTCAAAGTTTCCTTTGCATCAAAACACATTTGATCGAAGTCTTACTTAAATCGGAACTGTTTTTAAGTTTCATTATTATCAATGTTTATTTATCTTAAGTTTTCGCAAGTGAAACTCTCCAGTTTCAAAATTTTAAAAGTGTATCTATTGATGGTTATGAAGCCGTTATTGTCACAATGTCAGAATCCAATGAAATTCTCGTACGAGCTAATTTCTTGCCTTCTTTCAGCACTTCCACATTGCATAGTCTTTGGCGATCGAGTGGCCCTCAATCGAAACTGCTTGCAGTTATTGTTGAATCTCATCCACCGAGGCAAGCTTGGGCGGTGAGTTGCAATTGAATCGTGATCATTACTATTATTCCCATTGCAATTATCAATCGTATAACTATTGTTCTGGGACTGTTATACTGCTATAAAAGGTATTATTATCAGTATCACTAGTTAACAATATTACCGTTAATGTTATCGAGTGATATGGTTTCAGGCGAAAATCAACTTTGCATACGATAAACGAGTTCATGTCGCACTGGTGAGCAGTTCCGATCCATTAGCCAAAGAGCTCGGTGCCACTGAAGTTGGAGATCTGCCGAAGTTTTATTTGTTCACCAGAGCACAACCGAAAACGCCCGTCTATACATCGGGGTATCTTACAGAGTACTCATATCGCTTGAAACGTTTTATTTGCATGAAATCGAATATTCTGTGTTTTGAAGAATATTCAAAATTATAGTATGCGTGAAATTTTGTGTTTTCGAACAATCAATGAGAATGTAAATTTCAGCGCTAAGGTGACCTGGCTTGAGATACAAGAGAAAATCACGGCGCGATTGATCGATGAGGTATGTGACATAAACAGATTGGATGGATTTTATCATGTTCATTAGTGATAGGCCATTCAATCGAAGCTAATAAGCCATCCAGCTGTACAATAAGGCAGTATATCCTGTAGACAGTCTCGTTTCAGTGAGAGAAGATAATTAATTATANGAAACTCAATCTTATGAATTTGAATTTAATAAATAATGAAATTCATGGGAATGTATTCACGGGGCTTATCGCTTATCACAGCAAAAAGGAATGAAAAATTTCAGACGCCTGCCTCAGCAATCACAGCACCGCCGGTTGTAGAGGATCATCTCGCACGGAAGGGACCCGTCGTAAATTGGACGCAGTTTGAGGTGTGCGATTCGAAAACGATTCATTTTTCGTTGCCCATGACGAGAACGAAGATCTTCGTTGATACATAAGACAAACGGAGTATCTTCTGGTGAAGATGCAGCAAAATCAGTTCCAGCAGTAGAATGACTCGAAAAATTGCAGGTACAACTAGTGGACTTAACATCGGCGATGTATTATATTTTGAAGGACGAAATTCCTCGGCGACAAATCATCGAAGGAGAGAATTTGAATGCACTGAAACTGTGGATACATATGTTGAAAAAAGTTCATTTTTGAATGTTTCTTAGTTGTTTCGATTTTTATTGGTGTTTTTTGGTATGTTTTATGAGGGAAAGAAACGTGGCAATTCACTGATTGAAAACTTATTTTAGTAAATGCTTTCATTTAGCTGAATTCGCAACTGCTCTAAATTCGAATGTATATCTCTTCTGTGATTGAGACGTAATTGAATGTAGGAAATTGA